ATGATCACTTGCAACGCGAAAGTAGAACGAAACTCTATTGATTACATACCTTGCAGTTTCTAGCTCTCCCTCTCCCTCCCTCCCCCCCGGTTTCAATTTCAAGCTTCGTCGAAACGATCACCTCGCGAACTGCCCGTCTCGCGCGGTGGATGGATCTTTCGCCAAAAGGGAACAGGAGGAGTAAGAAGAAGCGCAGAAATAAAAGGGTAGAGAGGAGAGATCTGAAAAAGTACAAGTAAGAACGAAGAAGAGCAGGAAGGCCGCCAGCGCGCTGGCAAAAACTGTGATATCTAAGGATTCGTCGAAAGTGCGATTCCCCGGTGTTTTCCAGTTTCCTTTTTTTCCCCAGCCGACTGGCCAGCCGGCGGAAGGGCGGCGTTTCCATCGCGGAGAAAAAGTTAATAGCGTCGAGAAATTAGCTCGACCAGGGGCGGGAGAGGGGGCACCGAGGGGGGGACCGAGTTGAACCATGAGAGGATCCATGGTTTCAGGGACAGAGATAGAGAGAGAGAGAGAGAGGGAGGTGGGAGCAAGGGGAGAAGAGCCAAGGGTGATCGTTGATCGGGGGGGTTGCGTTTCGCTGGGGTGTTCTGCACAGATGCAACGATAGCAACAGTTCGGTCGGCTCGTTCGGACAGGAGGCCACATATGAGCTCGCACGGCGCAACGGCATCGTATGGGCTTGACTCACACGCATCACGCGCAGTCATCCATCATTGTCAGTCTCTTCACTGACACAGCCGTTCGTCCGCTCTACGAACGCGCATACGGGACTCTCTCGATTCGAGAGATCCTCTCTTTCTCTCCTTTTCTCTCGCGTCGGCTGACCGGCTGCCTCCAGCTCTGATTTCCCGCGAAACCGAACCCCCGTTCGAGCGGAGAAGTTTACGCACTCGGCTATCGGCCAGATTCTGCTTCCAACGACTCAGGAGCTCAATTTCGTTCAACTTCGTTTAACTTCCCGTTGTTGTTCGTTCGTATTCGGATTTATCGGTAATTGCGCACGATCAGGATCGAGGTGTGTTCTTTCGAGGGATCCCGCTGAAGAATTCGAGCGTGTATTGTAAAATACATAGGTAATTATATCTGTAGAGTAGTTTATAGATACTGCTGGTAGATAGTTAGAATACGTATACGTTGCATATCTCTTGACAGATGGGTTATTAAAGGATGTGTGTTGTGCAGTTACGTTTGAAATAATTGGAGGATCGTTTTCCATGTTACTTTGATTTTTCTGTAGTTGTCCCTTGCACTTATTCTGTTTTGAAAGATAATTTTTATCAGTGTCGTGTGACGTATTAATTTGTAGAACGTACACTTGATCCAATAAAATTCATGTCAATGATCTTCTAATTGTCTCGTGACATTTTCTAGACGTTCATAAATCATAGATATTCGTGTGGCTCAAATACTTATTACGAACTAAAAGTGGTAGATTATATTTAAACGATGACAGGAGGCTAGCCAAAGTATTATACAATACTAACAATAAGATATTTATTCGAGCTCTCGTGCTGCTTCTCAGTCTCTTTGTCTTTGAGAAAGCAAAAAAGAGAAATGATCTGAATTTATATTTTCTCATTATACGTGAAATAAAAATCTACTAATTTTCTAAAAACCTTTAGGTACCCCAACAGAATGTATTATATCGTTTATTACATATTCAGAATGCATTTCATTTTCGTGAAAAATTTGAAGCGTTACGTCGAGCGAGAGCGTTTAGACTTGATCAGTATCCTCTCAATTATCAGTGATACGGTGATCGGGCAAAGTTGCGCGAAGGAACGTCTGAATTTTCAAGAACCCCTTTTCGAGGGTTGCGCTCGCGAAAGGTGGAGCAGGCCGAAATATATGTATTCGGTTCGGCGTTTCCTGCGAGCTCCGTGTCGGCGAAGGAAGCGACGATGATGGATGACTCGAAATATCAGAGCAATCGAACTGAAATATTATTTCTCTCTCTCTCTCTCTCTCTCACACACACTCTCTCTCTTTCTCTCTCTCTTTCTCTCGGGCGGCGTACTCGATCCATATTTTACCGTGGCGATGCGCCGCATTTATCACCCTATTAAAATTGATTCGCGCGCGCAAATTGCGCGCTGTCTTCGGAGATCCGTGTTCCCTGGCCTGCTGGTCCCCTGCAGTTCCTTCACGCGAGAATTCCCCCCGTTTTCTCGATACGAAAACCCGTCAATCCCGCGCGCGATCGTTGAACATGTGTATTAAAAGCAACGTCCGCCGGCCAGCAGGGTAAAACGAAGGTATAATTATTTTCTCATAAGGGAATCGAGCGCGGGATCTTTCTTTTAATCGTGAGCGCTCGTGACTGCCGCGGTTTAAGTAGTGAACGAAATTATATTTAGCTTCGAAGCGCGGTACGTTTCACGAGAGTTTTAACCCTGTGTAACTTGAAAAACTAACTTGAAAGTTACACGTACCCACATGTGATCGTGTTTTCGTGCCACTGTGTGCTCGTTGCTCCGCTATGCTTCGTTATGTTTCGTCGATGCACCGCGAAAATGTCAAAAATAACACATTTGCGAGTTAATAATCACAGATTGCGTCGACACGATGCTGAGTAGTATCGGAAAGAACGCAGAAGAAAGAGGGGAGAAATGAAGGAAACGACGAATCCTGTTTAATTTTATAATGATATCTTTTATTATCATCCATTTCCATGTTTCCATTTATGATCGGTTTTACTGCATAATCCGTGGAAGGGTGGAGATTGAACGAAAACGCGAGCTGCCAGAACAGGATGAAACGATTCTGTGTGTTTTACGAGCCTGTATGAACGAATGTACACGATGATCGCCGATTTTTTTTAATTACTTCTCTCTCTCTCTCTCTCTTTTTTTTTGTAGCTTTTTCCATTTTTTTTTCCTTCGTTTCACATTCGGAGGAGCAAACCCTCGGATCGCATGGTTAATCATACATTTCAGAATCGAATAAACAACTGTGTGTATTCTTCAAGTGTATATGATGCGTGTACATACGTGTTCGCGTGTACATATGTCCGTGTGTTACGATTATCGTAAGCGCTATCTATGTACAAAGAAGTCCTCGTGTAAACGATTCGCGGCTCCCTAAATGCCATTTATTATTTAGTTTACTCTTTATACAAACCAGATGCAACGTACTGGCGCACTATTAAATATATTCTCGCTGTCGAGTCGAGTGTGGAAATCAGGATTCCTTTACGGGTCGCTAGCTATGTGACCTAATCTCGTAACCATTTTACACTATTGTTTCTCCGTTGACGCGAACCTCTCTGTCCGGTTCGCCGACGTCTGTCGAGCTTAGTAGAAATAACGACGAAACAATGTCGACGATTCTGGTGAAAAAGAATGATCGAACTCTCTCCGAAACGAAGTGTGTTCGTCTCGTATACTCTAAAACGCGAAACAACGCGTCTCTCCTCTGTACAGCATTGAAAACGAACGTCGAAAGAGTACAACGTGGTATGGGATTACTGAAAACCTCGTCGACGTTCGAACGGATCGTTCGAAGTCTTTCGCGACGTTTAACTTGGAAAGACGTTCGTAAACGATTGTCCGAACGACGTCGAGGAGCGAAACGAACTTCCGATATTTATGTTTTGTTACTTTTTCACGAGAGAGACGTTCTCACTCTGCTTGAAAACATTACGAGTGCGTTTCTTATCGTCCCCTATTGCGAGTAGTCCTTCTCACGACCGTCGTCCTTCGTCCTTAATCACTCGTCGATGTTACTCTCTTCCTCGAGTTAAATTAATCCTCGCGTCGCGCTAGGTTCGCGTATGTACAGTCACGTTATTTCACTAAGAATTATTGCTCGTAAATTGCTACCCTTCGACGTGTCACTTTTCCAAACGCGTTTTTATTTCTACTCGAAACATTTTGCCATTTCTTTTCTCTCTCTCTCTCTCCCTTTCTCTCTCCGACTGTCTGGCGAACGTGTTACGATGATTTGCAAGAAGATACGGAAGTAGTTTCGGCGGATCGTTCGCGCGACAATATGGCGTCGCGTCGAGCGCGCACACACACGAACTCGAATCACTTGGCTCGAGACCGGTCCGATCATCACGGAATTATCTACTGCACGATAGAAATCGTTCGTTACGTATTAGAAAGATTGCACTTGCACCTCTTCATTTTCTTCTATTTCTTTATTTCTAATTTATTTACACACACGCACGCGCGCGCGCGCACACACACACACATACACACACGCACATGCACATACGCAAGATTCTCTGCCACGTCGATCTTGAATCGCACCGTTTCGAAATCACTGGGCCGGCCTTTGCGACGCGTTCTCAACTTGTTGTGTCAGTTGCGTTCGTCGGTACAGGTGAAGCAATCATTGGTTACGGACGGAGATGATTGTAGCGACCGGCACGAAGATCATTCAAAGCGTCTCATTTCTTTCTTATTCAAGTTTCTCATCGGATCATCCAGTCAAAGTTTTTGTTTGAACTTCTCTTTGAAACTCTTCTTCTTCGTGTCCATTCGACACGGATGGATTTGCATGCTCAAGTTGTCGTGGATTCGTTTATATTTAGAAAGTGTGTCGCACAAGAACTTTGGTTCGATTCGAAGAAGCAGAGGTTCCACGGACGAAACAGATCGTCATCGAGAATCTACTCGCAGTCTGTCGAATAGAAGCTGTCCACGATCGAAGCATCAACGACGAACGCGCTTTCCCATCGCGATTCGAGTTTCTCATCAGCGAGTCTCTCGTTCGCAGGAATTCTCCCAGGAAAGATACAAACACAGTCTTCGCTACCTAAGCTTCCAACCTCATTCCAATCTAGATTCAAACGAACCGACGAAAAAGTCTCCGTTTCACGTCACTTTTAATCGAATCACACTCGACCAAGTCCATCAGCCTACCAATCTCAAAACACTCGCGACGACGACGACGCCGAGGTACGGTCGCAACGTGCGTCATCAGTACAACGCGTTCAGGAGACACTGCTCGTCGCTCCAGTCCAGCTGACACGGGTTCTCGGTCTCGTGAACTCAGCTGAGCTGATAGTATTCCGGCGCGAAGTCGTTGGCCAGGTTCGTCAGGAAGTTGAAGTCCGACGAGCTGTTGCTGTTGTCCGCGGAGGGTGGAGGAGCGGTGGTGTGCACCGGTTCCGCGTAGAAGTTGCCGTAGTTGTAGGAGTCGGCGTTGCCTTCCGCCTGGGCGGCGCTTCCTGGTGGCGTGATGACGGCGGCGGTGGCTGCCGCGATCGCGGTCGCCGTGGTGGTCATCCCCGGCGCCGGGAACGGATCTGGCGAGGAGACGTAGCTGTTGGGAATGCTGGACGCCTCGCCGCCTTGGTGGACGTGCAGTTGACTGGTCTGCTGGTCGTAGTAGGCGTTCGGGTGACACTTGGCGCCTGCTCGATAGTCACCGGAACTGGGATGCATAGGAGGTTGATGGGTCACGTA